TTTCTCAGGGGTCAAACTTGGTCCTTTCAGTTTCTCTGCTGTGACCTCATGGCTCCGTCTCTGCCTCTGTAGTAGAGGCAGTAAGACAGGCTGTGGTGCCACCAAAACTTCACAGAAGAGCAGATGGGACAGCTTGCATTTCCTATGGAGTGCTGCCTTAGTACCAACTACTCCTGTCCTTATAGCCTGTATTTACAGATTGGTATAAGTTAAATACAAAACACACCTTGTTTGTTTGAATCAGGTTATATAGCCCAGGCTGGACTAACATTTATGATCCTCCTGCCTCAGCCTTCCAAGTGCTGGGATGATAAGCATAGACTATCATGACCAGCTCAATAAAACTTTGTTTTGGTGTTTCAAGACAGGGCTTCTCTGTGTAGCCCTGGCTATCTTGGAACTTGCTCTGTAGACTGGTGTTGGGGGTTGGTCTGGTGCGCTGTGTATTCAGACGCTGATTTCTGTGCCCTGAAATCTGGTTGCAGTCCACGTTATGGGCATTGTCATGTTGTATAAACATTGCTCCTCAATTATCTTTGACTGGTTAACTTAAGAAAAGCAGAGGATCCAATGACTGGACGGAGAAGGTAGGAAGGTTGGACTTCCATTCCCAGTCCGGGAATCTGAGGTAGGGAACAGAGGGAGAGAAAAAGAGAAGAGGAGGCAGAGAAAGGACATACACTGATGGAGCAGAAGCGACCCAGGCAGGACCAATATAGCAAGTAACTTAGGGCATACAGCTGGGAAGTAACCAGACTAGCAGAGAGACTAGAATTAACTGTATCTGCCCAGCCATTGATCCTAAAGCTTATTAATATATCTAATAAGTCTCTGTGTCATTTATTTGAGAGTTAGAATGGGTAATTAGAAAAGGCCCCCCAAGGGCCAAGGTTGGTGGTGTACACCTTTAATCCCAGGCTTGTCTACAAAATGAGTCCAGGCCAGCCAGGACTACACAAGAGAAACCCTGTCTCGAAAAAAAAATTTTTTTTAAAAAGAAAGAAAAAGAAGAGAAGAAGGAGAAGGTGGCCCTCCAAAATTTAAATATCTTTTACAGACCAGGCTGGCCTCGAACTCAAGAGATCCACATGCCTCTGCCTCCCAAGGGCTAGGATTAAAGGAGTGCACCACTATACCCAGGACAGCCAGGGCTACACAGATAAGCCCTGTCTTGAAAAACTGGAACAAAAAAAGAGATTTACTTATTATCTTGTGTTTGAGTGTTTCCCTGGCTATACATAGGGGTACCACATAGTGAGATATCTGTGGATGTCAGAAGGGGGCATTGGGCCCCCTGGAGCTGGAGTCACAGGTGGTTGTGAGCCACCCTGTGGGTCCTGGGAACGTAACCCAGGTCCTCAGCAGGAGCAGCCATGCTCTAACCACTGATTCATCTCTCTGTCTCCTACATTAAATTTGCCAGTGTCACTGTGTAGCCCTGGCAGGCCTGGAAGGCCTGGAGGCCTGTGTAGCCTCCTGGGTGGGAGGCAGGCAGTGTGGCCACCTACAGGTCCAAACGCCTGTAGCCATCACGAAAGAAGGCCTGGCTCTGCCTCCTTCCTCACGGGGGCTCCCACTGCCCCTCCAGATGCCTGTGCCCAACTCTGTCCCTGCGCCTAACTGGCTGAACTCAGAATGTAGATGGGCAGGGGAATTCTGGGTCATCACTAATCAAGATAGCCTGAGGCCTGAGGACAGCAGCCCCTGGCTGGTTAAAGAGCAGCCATCTGTAAGATAGGAAGCCACTGAAAATGCCACCATGTGTTAAACGGATTCGCTGTAGAGGGACCATCAGCACAAGGGGAGGCTCGGGTCACAGGGCTCATGAGGGCAGCTACTGACTGACAGGTAATCCACACTGAGGTGCTGATGACAGCAAGGAAGGGGCAGTCTGGCTGCTCTCAGCTCCATCCCATCTGTCCCTCAGTCCCCTCAGGGGGTACCTCACCTTCTCCACGTGTAGTGCTAGCTTGACACCATTGTGTAGCCAGGACAATGCCACGATGGGGTCCCCCTCCACCTGGCTGCCCACTGAGCTCTCCCAGCTGTTGGCCAGGTGGTCCGCCATGCTCCAACATTTGATCTGTCCATCGGCGTCAGCTGACAGGAGCCGGGACCCTGAGGGGGACAGCTGTGTCTGGAGCCCTGCCCCACTCAGGACTCCCACTGAGTGGAGTGGCTGGCCCCTGGCTCTGGACTCAGAACTGATGACCAAGGAAGGCAGCCCACTCTGCGGAGAGCTCTGGACTGAGAGCAAACTTCGTGGCCTCACCTGACTGGTCCCACTCCAGGCAGGTGATGGCCTCGCTGTGGCCAGAGGGGATGGAGTGCACTTCCCAGGGGTGTTCTGTGTCCAGGATATGGATCATGTGTGTCAGGTCTGCAGCGGAAAGGGGACAGGTGAGGTCGGGGTGGCTCACCGCAGCCCATGGTTCCCATCCCTAGTTCACCTCTTCCTCTGAGTTCCCCCACGCTGCCAATACCGGGAGAATGCAGCCACAATGTCTCTCCTGGGGGCACTAGCGCCGGAGCTGCAGGACGGTGCCAGCGTGTGGCCACCCTCTAACTGGCATCAGAGAGCCTGAGCTGCCACCGTGAGCTTCTCAAACTGGGCCACATTTCGCCCGGAAATCTGAGGCCCAGTCGGGCCACACCTGGCACGGCCCACCTACTCGGTGTCCACCCCCAGGTCCCAGCCAGGTGAGGAGGGCCCCGGCTCAGGCTCACCCTGGTCATCGTTGCGTAGGTCTGTGGTGAAGGCGATGAGGTTCCTGCAGGACCAGGCGCAGGCCAGGGGCAGCGACGGGCAGTACGTGCTCTTGGCCCACTTCTCCCACTCGCACACATAGGCGAGGTCCATCATGCCCACCGCACCCAGCACGCTCCCTGGCTCCTGGGGAACAGGGAGGCACCACTCTATAGCAGCGCCCAGCTAAAGCGGGTCTACAATGTTCTCCAGGCCTTGAAGCCCGAGCCCTGCTTTAAATTCCATGATGCCCGGCCTGAGGTCAACCCCACCTATCACCCACCCAGATCTCAGCCTCCGAACACTAATTTCACACACGGAACTAGGTCCACCTGTACCTCTTCAGTCGGCGTCAATTTACACTCCAAGTTCAGTCCCTATGCCCCGCCCCCGGCCCATTAGGCCCACCCCAAGGCTGCGCCCTAGACCCAAAGCCTGAGTCCTAACATACACTCCAAGCACCTTTGCCACGCCCCGCCCAAGTTCGTAAAGCTCCACCCACACCGTCCAAGCACCCAAGCTCCGCCTCCAAACCACCCATCAGCTTCAGGCCCTGCTTCTCTCCTCAGTTTGTGATTATCAGGCCATCGCCCGCCTCCCTCCGCCTCAGAACAGCATCCCCAACCCCCGACTCCCCTCAGACTCTGCTCCCTAGGACACGCTCCTCTCCAGTAGGCTCATTTCCTCACGCTCCGCCCCTCCGTTAACGTCTGACCCAGACCACGCCCCCCGGGGGGTTCTTAGCCCCTCAGACCACGCCCCCTCCTCAGCCTAGCCTCCTCAGGCTGCTCCACAAGCTCCGGTCCTAACCAAGCCCCACCCACACGGGCCGCTACCCAGGAAGCTTTGTTCCCAGGCCCGCCCTCTGACCCCGCAAGGCTCCGCCCCTTGGCCTTCCGCGCGCGGCGACGCCCGAAGCGCTCCGGCCACGCGTCCCGCGACCCGCACTGACCTGTCCTCCCCGAGCGCCCAGTCGGCCGGGCGGCCTCGATCCACACTCGCCCCAACGTCCGGGATCCGGCGCCGCCATCACTGGGCCCGCGCCGGCACCTCGCACAGACTTCTGGGAGAACTCAGGCCCCGCCCCTACCCCGGTTAATTTGCATAAAATAATTCCGAGTAAAAGTTGCGGCTCTACGTTGATAAAAGACAAGTTATCTGCCATTTCTGATCACTGGCTACATCTTACATGATAGGTTTAGTTTTAAATAAGAAAAAGGCTAAAAGTAATCACATTTAAAAAGTCACCCTAACCCAAATGAGAGTGAATCTTGAGACTATAAATACTGCTCGGACAAGCCAGAGGTTTGTGCTCGCTTCGGCAGCACATATACTAAAATTGGAACGATACAGAGAAGATTAGCATGGCCCCTGCGCAAGGATGACACGCAAATTCGTGAAGCGTTCCATATTTTGTCTCCCCCCAAAAGAAACTGAGGTGTGCGTCCCATTTCCCTTTTGGTCTTTGGGACGAGGGCTCAGGTTGGCCTCACGTTGAGATGCTCCTGTCACAGCTTCAGCGTGCCCACACGCTGGATGGAACCCATGGGTGGGGGGGTGCACGCTGGAGGGTCCACGGGTGCAGGTGAGAGGACACTGAGCTGGTTCTTTCCTTCCGCAGGTCAAGCTTGGCAAGCCCCTTAACCCGCTGAACAACTTTGCTGGCGAGTGGCGTGTCTGTTTGAGGCAGGGTCTCCCTGTTTGGCCCTGGCTATGTAGAGCACCTGGCCCTGAACTCACAGACACCCACCAGCCTCTGGCTCCCAAGTACTGGGATCAAAGATGTCCAACACCAAAAGCTGGTTGTGGTGAGGAACATTAAATCTCAGCACTCGGAGAGGCAGAGGCAGGAGGATCGCAGTGAGTTGGAGGCCAGCCTGGTCTACAAAGTCAGTCCAGGACTGCCAGGGCTACACAGAGAAACCTTGTCTCCAATAACCAAAAAAAAAAAAAAAAAAAAAAAAAAGTGCCACTGCAATTGCTCTCCCCGAGCCACAGCCATCTTTATGCGTTTTACACATTTTAAATGAACTAACAGCCAGGCAGGGTGCTGCACTCCTTTAATCCTGAGTTCGAGGCCAGCCTGGTCGACAAATTCAGGCCAGGGCTACACAGATAATCTGTGTCTCAAAATAAAATTAAATAAATAAATAAAGACAAAATAAAATAAATGCACCAAGACTGGAGGTTCCCCCATGTCCAGACCTCCAGCCCGCAGTGACCCACCCCAACCAAAGCCAAAGACAAGCACACAGCCTGAGCACCAAGGCTTTATTAAAAGTGTCCCTTTTCCCCCAAGCACAAAGAATCCCACGAGGGGAAGGACAGGGAGGGCCATAAGGCCTCTGCAGTGACCACAGCAATGCCGGGCAGCAGAGGGGACAGGGGAAGGGAACAGGGCCCACAAGGTCAGAGGCTTCTGGCTGGAAGTCCTGGACCCCTGGTATTCGGAGGGAGGGGAGGGGCAGGGGCGATCTGAAAGGCAGGCAGGGCCCAGGGAGCAGGGGACATGACACACACATCATAAAGAAAAGCTTAGAGTCAGCGCTTGATACACAGCTTGTCCAGGTTTGCTGGGCACACACGCACACAACAAAGAGCCCTGGGAGATGAGCAGAGTCCTAGAGAGGCCCCGCCACCCCCATCAGAGCTGAGACCTGGAGGGCTCAGGCAGGGCTCACATCAGAGCCCACGACTGGATGGCGCTAGGTGTTTGGGTAGTGCCTCCCCACTTTAAAAGAGAAATTAAAACAAATCTTCCCCAAAACATGCCAAATTCATTAAAAGTGATTAGGAGGGTAAAAGAAAAGAGTCCGCTTCTCCTCGCCTGAGCTTCAGACTGGGACAAAGAAAGCCAAACACAGGAAAACAAACGCATGGAAAGGCCCGGGTCAGGTCTCCCCACCCAGATTTACAGGTACCAGGGTAGGGAGCTATAGGGCCGTCCTGTGTGAGCGGGGACGCGAAGGGGCAGGGGTGGTATTCAGACTCTGACACTGTAGAAGATTATTATCAGCAGATGTTGGAGTCTGGGCTAGGCGAGTCGGCAGGCGGGGCCTCCGCCGTCACTGCTGGTCCAGGTAGGCAGACAGCAGAAGCTCTGGAGGCAGGAAGTCCAGGTGACGGTTGCTGACCTTCATCTGCCTCCGGCCCTCCAGGTCAGCACCTGTGGACAAGCCATTGAGGACTGGAGGAGCTGGGAGTATTAGCACGAGGCCTGGGGGGCTGGAGGGTCAGGAGTTCAAGGCCATCCTTGGCTATACACATACTGGAGGGGAGGCCAGCCTTGGCTACACCCGAGACCCTGTCTAGACAACAAAAGAAACTGGGTGAGGCTAGCCATGAGCTGAGACTCTGTCTATAGGGCTCCCATTTCACCTAGATCAAAACTCAATCCCCACAGAGAAACCCCTCAACCCCTCCCAGCTCTCAGGTGTGTGAGAATACAGGCAGGTGTGGAAGCTGCAGCATCCCCCACGGTGGGAAACCAGAGGGACCAATCCCAAGGGTTGCCATGGAAACCACAGCAACTCCACAGGAGGCAGAGACAGGTGCAAGGAAAGGGAAGACGCAGAGGGACAGCTGGAGCCACTGAGGGCCCACAACCATCATTAGAAACAGCCGCCCTGTGAAGACGGAAAATGGAGGACGAAGACCTATGTTCTGGGAACTGGGCTCTTACTGGACACGGGGCACCTGTCTCCTTTTCTTCTTCAGGTTGGGGATAGAAGCTCCTCACCTCCAGGCTTTAACAACCTCACTTTGCTCCCTCCCCTGGAGCTGTGAATGGAGGGTGTCTGGCCCCCAGAATCCCATACTACTCTTCATGAGTTAAATATAACCCAGGGCCCCAGGGCCGGACCCCCCCCCCCCCCCGCCACTTCCTCAGGATGAAGGGGATGAAGGGGATGAAGGGGTGGCGGAGGGGAGTGGCACTCACTGGCTGAGATGAGGTCCATGTACTGGCAGACAGCATGAAGCAGGAGCCTCTCAAAGCTGGGGAGGAAGGGACATGAGGGGCTGAGCCAGGGCGGGAGAGGAGGGCATGCCGTCCCCTCTCCTCAGCCCCTGTACCTGTTGTCCAGCATGGCGGTGTACACAGCCTGGGGTGACACCGAGAAGAAGGCCAGAAGCCGTTCCTCCCAGCTCTCCAGGGTTTCCTGTGGGATAGGAAGAGCTGAGGGGGTCACAAAATCCCCACTAAGTGCCTTAGAGTATCTGACAGTGTCAGGCACCTGAACACCACATGACCGGACCTGCCTCTGGTCAAACTCTTATACACTCTGCGGCAACCCCTGCCATTACCCCATCCTCCTCCTCCTAACCAGCGCACCACCTGCCCCTCTCCCGGGGGCTCCTGTCACCTCTTCACCAACTCAGAATGGGGACATGGAAAGGCCAGGCTTCGAGGAAGATGGGGCACTGACCATCGGGATTCGGCTACGCTTGAGCACGGAGCGCAGGCGACGGCTGATGCGCCTGAAGCACTCATGGGGTGTGAAGGCCGGGTCCTCTGTGAAGGTGGCAAGGGGGGGAGGCCTGGGGTGAGCTCGGGGCCCGCCCACAGCCTAGCCACACCCACCAGGGAACCCTACCTTCATCCCTTCCCTTTGCCCACCAAGGTGACCAAGGAGTTTCGCACCCCCAAGGCTCTGCCCCTCTGTAGCTTGGCCCTGTCCCCAGGACAACAGGGCGACTGGCCCCGCCCACACGGGCACGCCCCCAGCCAGGCCCCACCTCTCCGCCGGTCCTCCCCACGGCCAGGCCCGCGCCTCCTCTTGCCCTGGCCCTCATCCTCCAGATAGCGGAGCACTCGCTCTTGCTCCTCCCCGGATCGGTTCATAAAATCATTCCAGACCTGGAAGACAGGGATGGAGGCTCGCCCTGGGGCCCCTGGGTCTGTCTCTCCACTTGATAACTGGACACTCAAGGCACAGGCGCCCATCTGCCCCGGCTCACAGGCGCGGGTCCCAAGCTGAACGCTGGAACTGGGGAGGGGCTGCAGAGACTCCCAGGGTCTCACCTCCACATAGGTAGCATTGCTGCAGGCCTCTGCAAAGATACCGGGTGCTGCGGGAGGAGTCAGGTCCCCATCTTCCAGCCCAGGAGGGCCCCCGGCGGTCTCGAGCAGCGTGAGGAGGTACCGGGCTGGCAGGAAACAGATTTGTAGGTTGAGGCCGTGTTTGGGTCCCAACTCACTTCCACCGGCCCAAGTTCTGTTTTCTTTTCATTTTAACCCATCCAGTCTAGAGCCCCATCTACCTCTCCCTGACGCGCTGAACTCCTGTGCACCCTGCTTACTGTTTTCCAAGCGCTGCAGACTCTTCCGTCCCTTGGCTTTGGGCACCAGGTCCGAATTCCGCACAGCCTGGTTGATAAAATGTTGCTTACGTCTGGAAGAGGAAACCCTCTTCACTTGTGAGCCGCTGATGGGCAGGCAGTCAGGAAGAGACCTGTAGCCAGGTGAAGAGGTCATCAGGGCCAAGAACAGGCCTGCTCCGTCTCCCTGGCAATAAGAGGCTTTTCCCCCACCCCCACCTCAAGACTCAAGTTATGATGCACGATGGGTAAACTGAGGCTCCAAGACTGGAGGGCACGGGTCCTAGTCCCCCAGAAGAGCAGTGGTCTCCCCCCCCCATCACTCCCAACTCCAGATTCAAGCCACAAGACATCAAGGTCCTTGTGCACCCCAGGGGTCGGACGCTAACCCTATGGAAGGGGACCTTCTGCCCCATGACCTGTAAGCCAAAAAGGAGCCACAGGGTCTCAAGGTGACAGCACCCGACAGGGACTCAGGATCTGCTGGCTTCCTGGAAGCTAAAAGGGGTCCAGCTAATCGCGCCCAGGAGCCGGTAGCCTGTCTCAGAGCTAACTGCCCAGCTCCCGAAAACCGTAGTAATCCCGGGATGAGCTGGGTGCCCAGGAAGCCAGGCGCTTGCTTGGCAGGGGAGGACAAGAGCTACAGGGAGACAGTAGGCTTGGGGAGCCCTTTGGCCGCGCTGGGGAGAGCAGCGTGCTCCCAAAGGCCACGCCTCCCGTCTGCCTCCCCCGGCTCTGGTGGGGTGGGCCCCTTCACCCATCTCAGGCCACCAGCCCGCTGCACTTCGAAGGTCGAAGGTCACTGTGGACCTGGGGATTCCCTCCCCAAGGCGGGGGAGTCAGCCCTTAACCTCTACATCCTTCCCTGAGCAGGGTGAGGCCTGAGGTGAGGCCAGCCCCAAACATTCTACCGGTCCCAGACAAACATTCAGTGTTGCATCAGCTCTGAGGTCCGAGGCTGGACCACTTCTGCTCTAGCTTCAACCCCGGCCTTCAGAGCTCCACCCCTGCAGCTGGGGCAGGCTGATAACAAACCACAGCTGTCTTGCGGAAAGGACAGACAGACACAGCAATAAAAGGGAGTTCCGAGCAGCCTTCTGGCTACAAGGACAGTTGTGACCCTGCGTCCCAGTTTGGACGGCTAAGCCCACTCAGGCCAGAGCCCACCAGGCTGGCCATGGCCCTGCTCTGGTGCCAGCCACGGCTCCCAAGTGTGAGCCCTCGACACTCCTTGGCCTGGTATTACAGCACATGTTGTGTGGGTATTATAGAACGGAGTTGTGCTCCATTCAAAGGGCTTTGGGGATGTCACCATCCCCTGGGAAACCCCAAGGGCTCCAGGAAACAGAACCGCTGCCTGAATTCAAGCCTGTTATGCCCCTCACATGCCTTCAATCCCAGCGCTGGAGGAGACAGAGGCAGGCGGATTACTGTAAATTAAAGGCCAGCCGTGGTCTATAGAAAGCAATGCCAGGACAGTCGAGGCCTCACAGAGAAACCCTGTCTTCAAAACAAAACAAAGACACCAAACTTGTCATGCCCCTGAGCCTTGGCACCTCTGTCGCCAACGCCTCTCCTGGTTCTGCTTGATTCTGGTTTCTGTCCAAATGTCACCTCCTGGAAGGTGGCCCAGCCCGTCCAATCAGTACTTCTCACTGCTATGCCAACTGTGAACCAGCTGGTCTGAGTTGTTTACTCCTTAACCCCTGCTCACTGAACCCCACAAGTGTCCAGCAGGCAGTTCGCAAGCAATGGGACTCCAAGAGGCTGGCTGAATGAAGGAGCATTCCTTTCCCCATAACCAGGCCACTTTACAGACAGTGAAGCTGAGGCCGCACAGGTGGCGTCTGCCTCCTCAGAATGTGACCAGCACCTGTGAGGAACGGCCAGGCCACAAAGCAGACGGTGCCAAGTGCGTGGGGTTTGGGGAACAGGCCTTTCTTGCACCCTGCTGGTTGGGTAATGGGACCCCGGCTCACCAACACGCACCCTGGATACAAGCACACCTTCTTTGGCAAACACTCCCGGAAAGGCAGAGAACCACTTCCCCAACAGGAAGCAGGGCGGAGGTGACGCAAGGGCCCCAACACCCAGGCAGGTGGACACCTGGGCGAGGCCCTGAAGGGAAGTAATTCACTAAATCGCAAACTCGTTTACAGTAGAGCCACATTCATCGTCGCTAGGTGTGGTCCCAGGAGGCTGAGGCAGGAAGATCGGGAGCTCAAGGTCATCCTCAACTACACACAGAGAGATTGGGGCCAGCCTGAGCTACGTGAGACCCTGAGTCAAAACAAACAAAACACGAACCGGGAGACAACACAGTGGTTACCGCTCTGTCTGCCTGCAGGAGCCAGCACCTGGTGGCTCACACTTGCCTGTAACTCCAGGAGTCATGTGACCTCTGCAGGCTCGAGCACATACATGGTGCAGACCCATGTATGTTCATACATGTATGTCCCCATGTATGGTACATACCCAAAGGTGAAAGCAAAATGCCCGTGTATACATTAAGATAAAATGTTTTTTAAAAATTAAATAAATTAAAAAAAAAAAGCCAACACCCAAAGGTACATCAAATAGAACCTTAGCTTGCTGGTCAGCATGGGGAAGAGCTTTGCTCCCCTGCCCTGAGTCTAAGAGACCACTTTCCACGCCCATTCACAGAAACCGAGACACAGAAAGACCCAGCAACCTGGCCAGGAGGCAAAGCCAGCTCTTGACCCCACAAAGGTGTCAGGGCAGATGACACAGGGCCATTGGTCACAGGACCTCAATTCCTCAGTAGCCACATTCGGCCAGGGCTGCACACTGGCCGCTCCAGGCCACCCCACCTCCCATCACTTTGGGAACTGACCCCAGGGACACAAAGAGTGACCATTGCCAGGAAAGGGGAGGCAACGGTGACCTCACGGAGGGTGGCTGGGAAATGCCATTGGCATTGGCCCTCCAGTCCAGTGTCACCTCAGCCAGTGGGGTAGGAAGGGGATGAATCAACTTAAATGCCTTTAGCTGGGTTAGCAAGCCCTCCTAACAGAAGCCCAGAGCGGGGGTCTGAGTCTGTGAGTGAGCAGCCAGAGAAAGGGGTGTGGGTGGAGGAGACAGAGGACATCCAGTGAGGAAGACTGGGGAGGAGGACAGGGAGGAGGAGGCAGAGGGGAGAGGAAGAGGAGGAGGAGGAGACCCCAGCCTGGGAAGGAGGAGACCCCCAGCCAGGGGAGGCGGAGGAGAAAGAGGAGAAGTCCCCAGCTTGGGGAGGAAGAGGAGAAGACCCCAACCTAGAAAAGAGGAGGAGGAGACCCCAGTCTGGGGTGGAGGAGGAGGAGATCCCAGCCTGGGGAAGAGAAGGAGGAAGAGAAAGAGGAGGAGGAGGAGAAGTCCCAAGCTTGGAGAGGAGGAGGAAGAGAAGGCCCCAGCCTAGAGAAGAGGAGGAGGAGACCCCAACCTGGGGAGGAGGAGGAAGAGGAAGAGACCCCAGCCTGGGGAGGAAGAGGAGAGCCCAACCTGAGGAGGAGGAGGAGGAGGAGGAGGAGG